GGCAGCAGCGGGGGCAGCCGGCGGCGCCGCCTCCTCGCGGCTAAAGGTGGGTGCTGGGGAAGTTTTCTCCTCTCCTAGCAGGGAGGCTGGGCAGGCTTGAGGGTGCAAACGGCGGGGACCCGGCTCACGCTGGATTTGCCCACGGTCCTTTACCGCAGCTTCTCCGGCTTCTGTGCGCCCGCAATTCCCGAAGTCAGCGCCCAATGCAGGGGACCAGGGAGGTTCCGCCCGCCCGCCCGCGGGCGCCGACCCCATCCCTGGGCGGGGTCCCGAGGCCAAGGAGCAGGCGAGGTCTGGGGAGTCCAGACAACTTTGGGGGCGGTCTGTGCCAGGGTGGGAGCGTCGCGGGCTCCTGCCCAGGGATGGCTTCAGCAGGGCGCTGGCGCTGCCGCGGGGAGAAGCAGGTGTCTGCTCCTGCCCCGGGGGAAGATCGGCGGCGGTGTCTTTAAAGGAAGCTGAGCTGTGACTGGTCTCCGAGGTCGAGGATGGAGTGGAAACTTGGAGGCTCCAGGGAAGGCCCCGTGGCACTCCGCGTGGTCCCCCAGGGCGGCCCTGGCTCCCCTGGGAATGCGCGCCCTCCGGGTGGGCGGCAGAGTCCCGAAGAAGTGCGCGATGTGATGCTCCCCAGTTTCTCCGACTCTGCTAGGGCTCCCGAGGTCCGAGGCGCCGAATCTGGTACCCCTCCCTCGCTCATCCAGTTGTTCTGAAGATGTTGACCTCCCCACCTCTCCCGCCCGGAAGGAAGCTGGAGCCCGGTGAACGCCTGGAGATGTCAGGCGAGCCTGGGAGCTGACGAGCCCTGGACTTTGCTGCTTCGGAGCAGCGGGTAGGGGCGCCGGGAGGGCGGGTCTGAAACTGAAGGTCACGTGCTCGCAGGCAGTGTGGAGGCATCAGAAAAGCAGGGCCGCGTGAGGGTGGGTGCAGGTGGGCGCAGGGGAGGCTGTGGCAGACCCAGGCTAGAGCGCTCAGCTTAATGATAACTTGTTGATTCTCTGCGCTGTCGACGAGGGCGTGAGTTTGGTTTGCCGGCTGTGGCCAAATTTGCCGGTTGACAAAGAAGAGGGTACATGACCCTTTGGAATCTTGACTGGCGGTCACCTTAGGGCGGAGGGCTTTGCACCAGTTGGAAAAGAGGCTCTCTATTAGAGACAGCCAGATCTAGAGGCTGGCTTTGAACTGTAGTGTACCAGTGGCTCAGAGAAGGGAATGCGTATCAGGTGGATTTACTCTTGGCGGATGGAGAGATCCAGAGGCAGACGGTGCGTCTTGTCTGAGCTTTGGAAACTGTTTCTCCTATAACTTGAGAGTAATGAATTTGAAGATAGGAGAGTTTCTGTTTATTTGTAATCTTTAAATTTTTTTATGACATAATTTCAAAAAAAAAAAAGCTTATTAGCAGGCTCCCTATTTCTTTCTAACCCTCCCCCTCCGACTCTGTGCATCTTTGACAGTTTTTCTTCTGCAAAGACAAACTCATTCCGGAAAAAATGAAAGGTCTTAAACATAGGTAAAGGTGACACTGAGATGAAGGAATCAAGCTAAGAGACTGTTTCTGTGAAAACAAGAATAATAAAAGAAAGAACTTCCCAACCCTTTGCCTTGGTTCCTTAGTATAGATACTTTGTTAAGCAGGCAAATTACATTCCGAGGGGAAGATTTTTCTATTTCTTTGTACCAGAGCAAGTGACATATTTATAAGCAGATGTCTACAAACAGGGGAGGAGGTTCACACCAAGTGAAAATCAGAGAAGAAGTCATTTGGGAAGAAAACCTGGTGTACATAACACATTGCTGAGTTCTCATGTCAGGGTGGAAAGATGAGAGAGCGAGGAAGAGAAAAATAAGGCTATCAGTGATTCACTTTATGTGAATAATTATGTGCATTTTAACCAACATCCTTCATCTTCCCCACTTAGATCATATCCATTTCACGGTTAAAACCAGTCATTTGTCTTCCGAGTATAAAAAGTTTATAGATCCTCTGAAGTGAATCCCCCTTGTTTCCGCTTCTTTCCCCCTTACAACCACTGGGGGGCGGCAAAGAGCACCATTTGCTGCCCTTTTTTTGAGACAAATGTGTAATATTTGTTCACAGCAGAGACATTTATTATGACACTTTAGTTTGTATTTACAGGACCGACTTTCTTCATTACAATGCGCTTGCAGTTTATGTTTTCAAATCACATAATCTCTGAAGAACGTTTGAGTTTAATAAACACTATATGCTTTCGGTATGATATGCCCTGCCTCTGATTTTTTGCCATTTTTAAGCTTCATGTTGTTATTTCCATCACCAAAAAAAAGAAAAGAATCAGGAGGCATGTGAAGAAGATTGAACAAAAATATTCTCTTTCTTCTTCCATACAATTTTGTATCTATTGTGGGAGAAAATCGGGAGAGTGACAAGGAGCTGTCTGGCAGAGTTGATGTGCTCTCTGGACAATGTCTGGAAGTGTGTGCTCCCAGCTTCGTGCTGGTGTGGGATGCCTGTGTCTGTGGGGCGCAATATGCCTTCCTTGTTTCTTGTTGTAGGAGACCAAATAGCTAATCCCCAGGAACAATGTGAGGTTTTCACAGAATCTCTGCACTTTCAGTGCAATTTCAGAAATCATATAGTGTCCCGGCAGTCACAACCCTTTCCCTCCACCCTTCTCTATCTCATCTATCAAAAAAGAAAAACTCTTATTGGATTCCATGAAGAGACCAGATTACTTACCATGTGTTCTATGAAAGAAGCTGGGGAGGGATTTTGGACCCAGGGAGTCTCTGGGACAGAGAAAGACATGCATGTCTTGCCCAAGGGAAAGAAGACAGTACAATCTAGATATGCATGTGAAGGTTTGTGGTAAATCTGGCAAAATGTTGTGGGTCTCACCATCTCAAAGACCACTAGGTACACAGTCCCCTTTCAGTGCCCAGCTTCCAAGCATAGAAGTCACATGGGACAATCCTGAGTATAGATTTTCAGTGATTGGGGTGCTCACCTGTGTGCCCAGAGCCTGGACCAGGGCTCTGGAAGTTTCTGAGCAGATAGCTGAAGACCATCATTATTCCACCCCTACCTGTTTTGGAGGAGTTTTTGACCCACTAGCGAGATAAGATTTTTATATGGAAATTTTAAGCAAATGGCAAAAAGACAGAATTTGTCCAAAGTGTAATACTAACTGAGTGTTAGGAACATAGGCAAGAGACATGGGGCTGGGGAGAGAGAGCTTGCCAAAGTAGCCTTTGGTAATAGGAAAGGGAGAGCACAGAGCAGAATTCTAATAATAATAGTGCAGTTGTAATTGTAGCATTTGGAGCCCCTTTTTAGCATGTAAACAGGTGCTTTGCTAATCCCATTCATGGGCTGTCCTGAACTCTGACAGCACATGCACAGCCTGTCTTAGCCCATTTTACACATAAGAAAGCGAGTCTGAGAGAGGTCACGTGACTTGCCAAGACCTTCAGCAAGAGAGTGTGGCTCTGGGGTCAGAATATAAAGGGTTGCCACACCCATGCCTTGTTTGCCAGAGGTTCTTCCCTTTGGATTTGAAAAACAAGTTTAGGGATCACCAGAAACTGAGCTGTTTGTGAGTCTGAATTACCCAGGAGACTTTCAGGGTCCAGGTTGCGGTATTAAAGGGGCTGCAGGTGAATGAGACGAGTGGGCCTCGCTTTCACCTGTGGAAACCTGGGTGCTTGCTCAGAGCAGTGGCCTCATCCTCCTTCCCACAGATTCAAAGCCTTTCTTGAATATTCCAGTCCGCACATGGTAGAACTTCCTGCAGGGGCAAAGATGGTATGGAATTGTGTGATGAATTTTCCTTAATCATCTTGAGCAAGTAGCAGGTGCCTCCTTGGGACATGACAGAGCTTTTTTCCCTGCCTGCAACAGAAATGCCAGAAAGCCTTCAGCAATATATCAGAGCATCTGTCAGAGTCATCCTGAATCACCCGTGGTTCCTGGACCAGATTGTGCTTCATCCTTGCCCTGAACCCTCTGGCCTTCTGGCTAGAAGGTCATCTTCCTCAGCTTCATTTCCATGGTTACTCAAGATGTGGCCAGACGTGGACTTGGCCATCCCTAGGAACCTTCCCCGGCTGGCCACCCAGGAAACATTAGCTGTCCCTCTGCCTGCCTGTGTTTCCTTGTCCAACTCCTGCACTGCTGTTTTCTGAGCCCTGAGAGCTGGAGCATCATCCTGGCTCTTGCTGCGTGTCCAGGCCTGACCTTGAGACATGAGATGAGCAGTCAATGGTGTTTGGCTTAGTGAATGCACCTGTTTGTAATTCAGGGCATTATCATTTCTTATCCTAGGCATTTAAGACTTTTCTCCCCTCCTGTATGAAGTAAAATTTTGGCTTAATTGCTTGAGAAGTCTGAGTTGCAGTCCAGGCCCTATCCCTTGCCCATAGATATCTTGGGCAAGTTAGTTAACCCTTTTGAGGCTCAGTTTCCTCATCTGTAAAATAGAGGTACAGAAATCTACTTGCGAGTTTGTCAGAATAGTGCTTAGAAAGCACTTCGATTTATTTTGTGGTATACAAAAGGCATTAACTATTGGGAGGCTGAGGCAGGAGGATTGTGAGTTCACAGCCAGCTTCAGCAAAAGCGAGGTGCTAAGCAACTCAGTGAGGCCTTGTCTCTAAATAAAATACAAAATCGGGATGGGGATGTGGCTCAGTGGTTGAGTGCCCCTGAGTTCAATCCTTGGCCACCCCTCTGCCAAAAAAAGGGCACTAACTCTACAATGATTGTAATTACTGGTAGCTTAAACATGTGTCTAATGTAGGTGACTTGGTGAAATTCCCTGTTTCTAATCTCTTAGCAATTCAGCACCTCTGTTCATACTTTCTCCTGATTCAAACTCTGTTCCATTTCTCTACCTTTTGGTCTGTCTTCTTGCTCTTTCTCTCAGTGTGTGGATGTGCATGTGTGTGCAAATATCATATAAAAGTATAAATGCACGTGTACACATGTGTGCATAAAAGCCTCTTCTTCTTCTCTGATCTGTGAATACCTTTGAAGCCAGATCCCCCATTTATCACCTCAAACTTCCTGGA